TTTTTTTAAAGAATGATTTACTTATGGGGCTGGCAGGTGGCGTGGTTCGGGGCACTGGACTCCCACATGAGCAACTGCGGTTCTAGTCTGGACCTGACAGCTTTCTGTCTCACTTTCTCTCTCTCTCGCTGGTGAAATTAAAATAAATAAGTAAATTAATTAAGTGTTTAAAAAAGATTTTGTTTTCAAGTTTAAAAAAAAAATTTGGAGAGGCTTTTTTTGCTATAGGGCTCATGCACTCACCAGAGAGACAGAGACAGAGAGACAGAAAGCGAGAAATCACCCCCCCGGGGGGCGATGACCTCGCCGCAATCCCTTCTCCTCCATTCTCTTGGTAGTTTGGGCATGCGCACGTGCCCGGTGCGAGTTTCAAGCCTCCGGATCCGGGACTAGAACTGCAGTCAACCATGTGGGAATCTGGCAACGCAACCATTTCGCCAACTGCTGGTCCCCGGACCCATTTATTTTGAGCATCAGTCCGGCCGGGGCTGTTGTATCTTACCAGCTCTGACCTTGTAGCTATGCGTACCCGGGCCAGGCTGGTGCTGTCAGGACCATGGCTGCGTCTTGTCTGCCTCCAGGGCCCGGTGTCCCTGCAGGTGAGGGGTAAGCATGTTTGGCCCATGTGGCATTTCCTGCTCAGCCTGGGCACCCGTCTCTGTGTCTGGTGGATGGATAGCTTTTTCTGTTTTGATTTAGTCAAATGGGGCACTTTAAGGATCAAAGTTTATGTCCATTAAGGCTGGCCAAACAATGTTTTGCAAGCTCCCAAGGCCCCACGAGACATTCCAGAAATGTTTCCAGCCAGGGTTGGCCCAGCGCTCAGGCTCGGGGGTGGCCAGGGCGGCTGTCTGGTCCGGCCGGGCCTCACACTTCGAAAGCGACTCTGGCCGACTTTAACTCGGGGGACCATGTTTTATCCCAGTCTGTCGTGGTATGGAAAACAATCGACCTGGGCCACCCTGAAGCCAGAGGAGGACTGTGGACAGAACACAAGATCTGAGCAGGTTGGCATGGCGGTTACGTTGCTGGACCCCCACTTGGTCGACCACGGTTCAAGTCCTGGATCCAGCGGCTTAAAACTCACATCAGCGCGTGTGTGTGCATGCCCAAAATCCCAAGAGGAGAATGGAGGAGAAGGGATTGTGGTGTGGCCAATGCCCCTGGCGGGGTGATTTCTTGTTTTCTGTCCCTCTGTCTCTCTGGCAAGTGCGCACACCCTATAGCAAAAATCTCTCTAGAAAAACAAAACGAGATCTGGGCCAGCAGGTGGCATAGTGCTTTAGGCTCTGGATTCCACAGAGCTGACTCCATAGTTCGAGTCCCAGCCCCAGTGGCTTGAAAAACATGCCAGGCACACACACACACACACACACACACACACACACACAAACGTGTATGTGCCCAAAAATCCAGAGAGGAGAATAGAGGAGAAGGGACTGTGGTCATTGCCCCTGGGGGGTACTTTCACTTTCTCTGGCAAGAGCTCATGCCCTCTAGCAAATTTACAAAAACATGAAGAGAGGGCCCGCAGGTGGTGTGGTAGTTAGGGGGCGCTGGACTTCCACGTGGCCGACTGGGTCAAGTCCTGGACCTGGCAGCTTGTTTATTCACTTCCTTTCTCTCTGATCAAGTTAAATAGTGAATTAATTAATTAATTAATTAATTCTTTAAAAAATCCAAAAAGCCATACCCCACATGGCCAGCTGCTGTTTGAATCCTGACCCCGGCAGCTTGGAAAACACTCTGGGTACATGTGCGTGCCTCAAATCCCAACAGGTTGGAGAAAATGAAGGGGGGGGTGTTTCTTTTTTCTTTTTTCTCAGAAAACATGTTCATTTGCTCATCCATCATGAGGCTTTTCCTTTCCTGACTGTGCCTAGGGGGAAATGTGACAATTCGGGTTGGCACAGCACGGCCACCTGTGATGTCAGGCCTGGACTCTCGGGCCAAAGGGCCATAGCATAAGAGCCTGACCCCCCGCCCCCGGGCACGAATGCGGGACGACGGTGCCCAGGAGGGGCCGTGCCAAGAGCTGTTCCTAGGAACTGCCTGCTGGCACCACACTGCGGCTCCCGGGTCTGACTCACCCGGGGCCAGTTAATCCTGATCATTTGTATAAACAGCACTGAGGAGTTCCTTTTTTGGTTTATCCCTACCATGAGGGGGAGAAAGAGACAGGCAGGCACTGCCAGCCTTACCCAGCCCTGATCTGGGCTGCATGGGTGCTCCGTGTACTCGGGCGGGTCTCCGTCCGCACCCCTGGTACCTTCCCCTGTGGGGCAGTGTCCGGTCTCAGCTGCACCCACAAACAGGGCTTCCATGCCATGATCCTACCCGAGCCCCAGCTGGCCCTGCACGGGGAGACCTCAGGCCTTGGGTCTGAGCCCGCCGGGGTGGCCTGAGCGGGGTTGTGTGTGACGGCTGCGGTCCTGTGGCTCGCTTTGTTTATTCCCACCGGGCATGCACGTGCCAGAGACAGAGAAACGGAGCAGAGAGGAGCCCCCAGTGAGCTGTGGTCACGTCGCAATCCTGTGTCCATCTGCCATGGTGTTGAGATTTTTGAACACACACATGGACATGCGTGCGCGCACCCAGGGTGGTCAGCTAGCCACCAGGGCCAGGATTCGAACCATATAGTTGGCTCTATGGAATCCACTTCCCTTAACCGCTAGGTCATGGAGCTGGCCCTGAGGCTGGTATTTTTTTTTTTTTTTTTTTGCAAGAGAGACACAGAGATAGAGATCAAGTGAGAAAGCAGCCCTCCAGGAGGGAGGGCCACACTGTCAATCCCTTCTCCTCCATCCTCTCGGGATTTTGGACACAAACGGACACATGCCTGGCATGAGTTTTAAGCTGCCGGGTCTGGGCCTGGAACTGCAGTTGACCACATGGGAATCCAGCGACGTAACCACTTCACCATCTCCCGGTTCTGAGGCTTTCTTTTTTTTTTATGATTATTTTGTAAAATGATCAGTATTATTAATTTGACCAGAAAGAGCGAGACGGGGGGAAAGCGAGAAAGCAAGCCACCAGGTCCGGGACTGGACCGGTGCTCAGCTCCGTGGGAGTCCAGCACCTTAACCCTGGCTCCCTGCTGCCCCCCCCAGGCTGCCTTTAAAGGCCTGCGAGCCCCTGCAGGGGTGAGGTGCTGGTGCTGGGAAAGGAGCCCAGCACGCCGATGAAATGACTCAAAACGGTAATGAACTGTTTTTCTCTTTGATTAAAAAATAAAAGTTTATTTAAAAACACTGCACAAGAATTGCGGCAGGAGCGGGCTGGGGCTGTGTGCACAGGCGCCTGCCCCGGTGGTGGCCCCGGCTTGGCTTCCTGACCTGGGGACACAGGTCGGGTGGTGCAGCACCGCCCTGGCAGGGTGCGGTCCAGTCCAGACTCAGGGGAAGTCGCAGTAGGGCAGGCGGAAGGGGTAGAGGGCCGTGTAGCGCGAGTCCTGCCAGAGCAGCTTCTCCTCCAGGAAGGCCACCGTGGGCAGCGTGAGGACCAGGGTCTGGTGTTTGAGCATGCTGTGCGCGTTCAGGCCTGGGCGGGGCACAGCGGGGCGGTCAGGGGAGCACCCCGCTCCCAGGCACCGCGGTCTGGTGCCAACTGGCGATCCTGGCAGCCTAGGTTCAAATCCTGCCTGGGCCCCTCACGGCCTGTGAGACCCAGGCCAAGGAACAGCCGTGGGCTCGTCAAAGGCTGACCCGGAGCCCCCGTACCAGTGGGGGAAGACGGAGAGAATGCATAAACAGCGCGAGGGCGAGAGCGGCCACAGCAGCAGGAGGTGGCGGTGGGTCGTGCCTGCCTGGTGGGCCCTGGGGCTTCCTCCTATGCAAGGTGGGCGCCATGGAGGGGTGTGGGAGGAGGGAGAACTGGGACCAGAACGACTGGCCTTGGGGCGGGTGTTTACTGCCCAGGGCCACAAGGTGGCAGATGCAGGATTTGAACCCCTGTGCATGCTGGGGGCCTGGGCCTTTGCTCACCGACAGCCGGGATCAGGTTGATGGTCTTGAGCCTGGCGGTGGCCTCCACAATGTTCTGGGGCATGTCCTCGTGTGTCCTGCAACAGAGGCCGGCTAGTGAGTCTGGGGGCCCGGGCTCAGCCCCCACCCCTGCCCGGCCACGCACGGCGCCCTCACAGGTCCACCAGCAGCACAGAGTCCCCCCAGCGGCGGAAGTGCGCCAGCTCCGACAGGTACTGGGGGTCGGGGGTGGGCAGCTCCAGGGAGTCCACGATGTGCAGGTTGTCCTGGTGGGATGGAGGGATGCTGAGCTCGGGCCCGAGCACGCCAGCGCCCCCTGGTGGCTCCGGGCAGAACGGGCCTGTACCTGGGCCAGCTTGACCGACAGCGCCACCTTGAGGCCGAGCGCCCGCACCTTCATGGGCAGCATGTAGTAGTAACTCGTGGGGCCGCGGGGGCCATGGGCGATGCCTCCTGTGGGGACAGTGCGTGTGAGCAGGTGAGGGCCACCACTGGACTGCCGGGTCAGAAATCCACCCCAGGGAACCAGCAGTTAGTGTAATGGCTATGTTGCTGGACTCCCACGTAGTCGACCGCGGTTCGCGTCTCGGACCCGGTGGCTTAAATCTCATGCTGGGCGCATGTGCC